GAGATTCTGATCCAGTGGTGTTGGTAATGGGGCCCAGGAAATGAATTTTCAACAAGCACGCATTGGTTCCAAGGTAGACAGCCCATGTGGCAAAGCAGGCTTGGGGGTACTACAGAGGAAGTCAGGGACTGGGCAGGGAGTTCCAGTACCCAAAGATGCTTTCTAGTTATGTCTACCCACCACTTACCTCAACAATGGCTGCCCCACCAAGCCTCAGGTAGAGGGCCAGGATATTGGCATCTCCAACAGAATGCCAAGTTCCACTCATCCACTATCTCACGATGGACTGGCCGGGTTTTTTTGCTTTTTTTTACTTCTGTGTTTATTTTTTCTTCCACATTTTTTATTTAAATTCCAGTTAAGGGATCCCTGGAAGGCTCAGCGGTTGAGTGCCTGCCTTTGGCCCAGGGTGTGATCCTAGAGGCCCGGGATCGAGTCCCACATCAGGTTTCCTGCATGGAGCCTGCTTTTCCCTGTGTCTCTGCCTCTCCCTCACTCTCTCTGTGTGTCTCTCATGAATGAATAAATAAAATCTAAAAATAAATTAATAAATAAAAAATTCCAGTTAGTCAACAGAGTGTAATATTAGTTTCAGGTGTAGGATTTAGTGATTCATCATTTACATACAACACCCAGTGCTCATTGTAAGTACTCTCTTGAATGCCCATCACCCACCTTGCTCACCCCTGCCCCCCAGCCACCCTCAGTGTTCCCTATAGCTGAGTCTGTTTTATGGTTTGCCTCTTTTCTTCCCTCCTGTGTACATATGTTACGTTTCTTAAATTCCACATAGGAGTGAAATCACATGGTATTTGTCTTTCTCCAGACTCGCTGTCCTTGCCTGACGTTCCTGTGCTGGGACAGTTAACCTGGGAGCTTCTTTTTTATTTTTATTTTTTAAAGATTTTTATTTATTTATTCATGAGAGACACAGAGAGAGACAGAGACATAGGCAGAGGGAGACGCAGGCTCCATGCAGGGAGCCCAACGTGGGACTCAATCCTGGGACTCCAGGATCACACCCTGGGCCGAAGGCAGGCGCTAAACCGCTGAGCCACCCAGGGATCCCAACCTGGGAGTTTCTTAAAGATCCAGCGGTTCGCCTCCCCAACCCTGATTCCTCAATGGTAATTTTCAGGGAGACCAGAGAATGTCTTTTCACCAACTTTCCCAGGTGTCCTCAATTCTCTCCTCTTTCACCCAATCCTTGGTGCAGCCGTGTGAGAGGACAGGGCTGGGGACAACCTCTCGCCATGCACCACCCCGTGGCAGGCATCGGTTTCCCTTATCTCCTGAACTCTGCAGGCAATGGGTTTAAGAGGAGAGGAAGCAGAGGCGCAGGGAGGTTTGAAGACTATAGTCTGGCGCCAAATGCAGGCTTGTTGCCTCCATTTACAAGCTTTGTTCTTTTTACAATAAACCGAAACTCATTAGAATTTGTTTAGAACAGGAATGAAGAAAGTATATTTACTCTCATTTTCCCAGAGAGGAGGAAGCTAAACCCAGAGAGGGGAAATGATGTGCCAGGATGTACAAAGCTACTGAGTGAAAGAGCAGATACTTGGTAATGTGACTCCAGGCCTTATCCCTGCTCACGCCTCACTACACCATGTTCCCTGAGTCCATGGGGAGAAGCATGGACAAACCCCAGCTAGGGGGCAGCTGGTCCAGATGTGCCAGGATGGCTGGGGGAGGGGACAGGGGAAGATGAGGAAAGGGAAAGGCAAATCCTGCTTGGCTTCTGCACTTTGCACCCTCTGGGAAGGCCCAGACTCATCCTCAGCCTCCCACACTTGGGGCCCTCAAGAAGCAAGGTCAGCTAGAAGGTGGGGCCTGACCACAGAGAGCCACAGCCACTGGGGAGGGGTGGGGTGGGAGGGTTTAGGGGGCTGGACTGCCAAAGACGATGACTGATGCTTTAGGTAGTCACATCTCTTTTTAAAGGTACCATTTCCACTTTACCCACGAGGAAGCGGAGGCTGGGCTGAACCCCACATTCTAACGCCATCTGGCTCCTTCCCATTCACCTCTGGCCCTGGTGGTCCCACAGGCGGCAGTGCACTGCACGGCGGGAGATGTGAGGGCCGAGGGCCAGGGCTAGCTGCACCATTACTCACAGCCAACCACAGGAAGGAGTGAAGGGGCTCACCCAGCCTTTCATTCTCTCTGGGGCGTGGCACTCCTCCAGCGAGCCCCTTAACCTGCAGGTTACGATGAAAGGTCTGGAGAAGTTGCCATAGCCACAGCCCTGCCCTGGAGGCATCTTGGCTCACCCCAAAGCACTCCCCTCTCCTGGGCGGGTCAACACTGAAACAATTGCTCTGAACAGGTTTATGGGAATGGGCAGGGACCACAGCAGGTCTGTGGCTACAATGTGCCAAAAAGGAAATAGGAGGGCTTTAGTCCATCTGGGAACATAGGATGTCATGGGAAACCCAAATTCCTTAACAGGATTTTCGGCTATCCCTGGTATCACTTCAGCCCACTTCTATGCTTGTAAGCATCGCAATGGTTACCATTGGATCTCTGCACCCTGTTCTGACTGAAAGGTCACTTCTCAAGTCCCACCCCACCTGTGCCAGACACTCAGTGATCCCTGGCAGTCAATCTCCCTTTCTTCCTTCCTTGCCAACAAAACTTCACTGGAAATAGTAGGTGCCCAGCCCCCAGGGGCAAGTCCGGGTCTATGGCCTGCCCATTTTCCCTTGCTGTTTTCCCAAATTTACCACTGGCCATGTGAAACATCTTCTAGAGAATGACATCTTTTGGGGAAAATATGGCTTCCTGATGGCTTCTTCCTGCTTCGCAACTGGTATGAGGTGTGGAGCTGCCACAACCTTCTATGAGATTATGCAACAATAAAATGGCAAGCCCTGCTGAGGATGGAGGGGAATCACAGTAAGAGCCCGGTTCCTTGTTAAATACTGTAGACACTGTGACCAATACCTGAAACTGCCTGCCATCAGACTTCTGTGAGCAAAATATTCCCCTATTTGTTTATGCTAGTTATTCCACGCAGCTGGAAACATTCCTAACTGAGGCATCAGAAATGTCACTTCCAGGGCACCTGGGTAGTTCAGCAGTTAAGCATCTGCCTTTGGCTCATGTTGTGACCCCAGGGTCCTGGGATAGAGTCCCACATTGAGATCCCTGCAGGGAGCCTGCTTCTCCCTCTGCCTATGTCTCTGCCTCTCTCTCTGTCTCTCTCATGAATAAACAATATCTTAAAAAAAAAAAAGCGTCTGCCTTCAGCTCAGGTCATGGTCCCAGGGATCCCTGTTCAGTGGGTAATCTGCTTCTTCCTCTCCCTCCCCCTTCTTATTTTCTCTCTCTCTCACTCTCCCCACTCTCTCAAATAAATAAAATCTTAAAAAAAAAAAAAAAAAAAAACATGCCTTGGCTGGTAAAAACAGGATCAAGGGCCCCCTCCTCAGAACAGTGGACACATTATGCCTCTCATGATCTCTGCACTCGCCGACTCATCCACAGGCCCCAGGAAACTGAGGTAGGCAGCAGGACCCCATGGTGTTCACCATTTTATTCAAAAGCCCATGGGCAGCCTGGGTGGCTCAACAGTTTAGCGCTGCCTTCAGCCCAGGGTGTGATCCTGGAGACCCGGGATCGAGTCCCATGTCAGGCTCCCTGCGTGGAGCCTACTTCTCCCTCTGCCTGTGTCTCTGCCTCTCATGAACAAATAAATAAAATCTTTAAAAAAAAAAAAAAAGCCCTCACATTTGTCAAATGCATAAGTATGCCCACAGCTGATTGCTGGCACAACCTCCTTCGGGGCAAAGACCGGGCCTGGTCCTCAGGAGCTTGCAAAAACAGCTAACCACATAACCTCTGAGGAAAGGATGTGTGTATACACACACATTCTGGAGTGAGGTGGGTAGCACCTTGCCTGGCTAGAAGAGATGCCACTGCTCCCTGCACAGGACGGTCTATATCACTTCATGACCTACATCACTCTGCAGGCTAACAGAATATTTCCCTCTGTCTGCCTCTGTCCACTTCCAGCTAGAGCCACCCTCACCCACCCTCTGGGCTCAGATTCATCTGTAGCTTGGACTGCTTAGCTGCACTTGGAAGGACAGTAAGGCACCCAGGCTTCTGTCCCCTCCAAATAGAGAAGCAAATCAAACGTGCTGTCTCTTGATCCTACCACACAGTATGCCTTTGTGATTACTGTCCCTCTTTCCTTACCTATTAAACACTGCACCAAGTCTACTTAAAAATCATCCAGTTTCTCCTATCTTCACATTTTGGGAGCCATCCTTCTATTTTCCACCTTATATCCATCCCTCCCAAGAGCTGATCCTGTTTCTCACAGCCAGCAGGACATTTGAGTATATTCTATAAGCTGAGCACTTTCACTGGTTATTTCATGTAATTCTTGAAATAATCGGTATCTTCATTTTATACCTAACAGTGTACTAGCAACTGCCTCTGAGCACTATGACAGCCACTTTATATATGCCACGTCTAATCCTCTCTAAAAGCTGCCACACTAATCTATATTCTATATTTTGTAGATGAAGAAACTAAGTTACAGCAATAAAGTGCTAGGGAGCCGGTGAGGAGCCGCTCTGTCCAACTCTAAGGCGTTTCAGAGTTGGGCCAAGGGACCCACCCTTGGAGTAATACCTAAGGAAGAGTACATCAATGGTTAGGGTATAAAAATTTATTACAGGTACAGAATATGACCACTAACGAATGCAGACAGGCTAGGACACAATGATACTGGATGGAAGATGGCTAGCTCTTTGGAAAGTGAACAGGTTTGGGTGGCTCGGAGCCTCATGCCACACAGAATGGTCAGTCAGAAGGGAGAGCGCATGCCAAACACTGCAGGAGGTCAGGGCATCGAGTGACTGCTCTGTGTGTCCAATGCCTTCCCCATCTGATCTGGGGCTTCAAAGGATGCCACACCCAGAAGCAAGCAACTGAAGCAGAGAGGATTCCTAAGGTGGCCCAGGCTTGTCTCTGAAGTCACGGCAACACCATTTTAAGCAATATGTTTAATTGGATGATTTCCACAAACTATACACGAAGTTTCTAACCATCACAATTCAGTGAAGTACAAAACATTAAGTTACAGGCTGTGGGAAGAGAAGGCAACACCAGTGGTGGCACCTTCCAATCCTGGTTGGTCTAAGAGTAGGGGGTGGGGAAGGTTTCGTTTTAAACTGAGCCCCTCATTTCAATGTACAAAAGAATTACTCTGATCGATATTAAATTGTATTGAAAACAAAATGGACTAAAAAGCAACTACTACTCTATGTTGGGGTGGAAATGGGAGGAAAGAATGAGTCCTTCAAAGCAGGAGGGGAGACAGTTGGGAAAAGGTTCTGTGGCTGTGACCCCAGGTGGTCACTCACGCTGCTCCATTTTTACTTTGGGTGGTCTCAGGAAGGTCCGATTTTTCTTCTCTTTCTTCCCCTTTGTATTTGCTTGGAAGTTTCGCCAGCTGTCCACACGGCCATCTCGACTTTCCTAAGCACAAAAGAGGTTTGGGTGAGGAAACTAGTTAAGGAGAAGGAGGGCCTGAACCTGCTCTGCCATCCCTGCAGCCCAGCCCAGCGCAGCCCTCTGGAATAATCCAAGAGTAGAACAGAGCAGAGCTTCCTCCCACTTCTGTGGGCCCACAAAAAAGTGGCATCCCACCTCCAGAAGGCAGGATCAGCTACAGGTTGGGAAGAGGACAAAATCATTGCAACCTTTGCTGGGGACCTCAGGGCTAGATACTTAGCATATGCTAATACTAATCCTCACAAAAAAAGCTGCCTGCAGGGCACCTGGGTGGCTCAGTTGAGTGTCTGCCTTTGGCTCAGGTGTGATCCCAGAGTTCTGGGACCACCCTGCATAGGCTCCCCACCGGGAGCCTCTCTCTCCTTCTGCCTATGTCTCTGGATCCCTGTGTCCCTTATGAATAAATAAATAAATAAAATCTTTACAAAAAAAATAGCTGCCTGCAGCGTGTAGTGCCACCACCATTTCACAAATGACAACACCAAGGCTCAGAGGTCAGATCACTTTCTCAAAGTCATTTGGCTAGCCAGCAGTACAGCAGCTCTTCCCACCGCACCCTCCTCCTGCCTCGCAAAACTTGGATGAGGCTCAAAGCCAGCATGATGCTGAGCAAGTTACCCTGAGAGGGTTGCTAGGGTCTCTCCCTGCTTATCAAGAGGCCTACTCATTTTCTCTCTCTGCACACACGTAGGAGAACAGAAACAAAGTCATCAACTCTGGTTTACCAATCCCTAGCCAGAGACCTAGACATTACAGAAGACAAGACACCAAATGTGGTTCAATTAAGGAAACTAGCTGAGCACCTCAAGAATGTAACCAGGGTGTTAAAGAGGAATCAAGTTCAAAAGTCTGACTATCAGGGTCACAAGAACCTCGGTTTCTGCTAATAGACCTCTTAAGTAGAGTACTACTCCACAACTACCCTCCAATCTAAATGTGCAAAGCATTTTTCTTGAGCCCACTTGGCAGGTGTGCCTTCTATAAATTTCTAAAAAACCGTCCAGGGACCCTTCCTGCCCTTGCCAAGGCTAGAGTTCCTATAGGCAGCTGAGCCAGGACTCATTCTCCAAAGCTCCTGCTCTTCCCCATACAGCCCCTTTCCCCGATCATCTGCCCCAGTTAGTCCTGGCAATGCCCCAGGAGCCAAGTTTCCATGCTGGGAAGTTTTCTTACTCTGGAATGAGAATCCCTGGCCACTGTGGAAACTTACCTCGAAGTTTTTCTGCCACTCCCTTTCTCGTTTGGCTTTTTCTTGAGCTTCAATTTCTTCTTCCCTTTGTCGCTTCCTAGGAAGAAAACCAGGCCAGAGTATTTATATGATACCTAGTGACTGTCTTAACCATACAAGGTAAGCTATCTCCTCACAGAAGCAAGTATATAAAGTAAATCCATTCCCTAGGGTTCTATAAAAATGGCTGTCTGCAGAAGGCTCAAAGCCCTTTCATGAATGTCTCACTCTAAACCATGCAGATGAGACCATGGGCAGGGCTACGGGGCAGGGTATAAATACCCCTATTACATAGACAGACATATAAGGTGGTCAAAGCCGAGCCAACAATAACCATAGGTTATGGGCTCAGTCTCTAGGTTCTGGGTTCAGTCTGAGACAACGCCATCTCGAGAACCCAGACCACCCTACTTCGGTAGAATGCCCATTACAATAGTAGAGGTTCTTACTCAAGAGGATCTCTAAGAAAAAAAAAAAAAAAAAAAAGCATCTCTAGACAAAATCCAATCCCAAAACAAGGACATTTCACACAACCTCAACTAGCAAAACATGGTTACTGCTAAACATTAATCAATAATACAAAATATATATATATTAACCTCAAGATTTCTGAAAAGCAAGGGAAATCATACTTTCGGACAATATTTTATAAGTGATTACACTATACAATAAATACATATTCAACAAAGCTGTAGCCACTAGTCCCACAAAAGGTTCTGGCCTCAAAACTCTGCCTATTTAACTCCAGGAAATCAAGAAGAAAACACACAGCACTCTTCATTAAAAATTCCCTAAGGACAGGCCCATTCAACTTCCCAAAAGTCAGAGAATTTCTTATCCTAGAGATTTGAAAGTTGGGCTGTTTCAGGAACTATTTTAGATAGTCTCTTAAATGATGTACTACATAATTCCTTGATCAGAAAAATCCTTCATTAGGAAAATCCCCAAAGACTAATTTTAGTTAATCTAGGTAGTTGGATGAATTAAACAAATATTCTGATGCATACCTTTCGTGCATCTCTTTGGCTTCTCTCTCTTTCCTTTTAATTTCCAGCTCAGCAAAGAGTTTCATGGTCTGTTTATATACTGCTTGTTTGAACTACAAGAAAATAAAGAACAGAAGAATATAAAAGTCAGTATTTTACCAGCAACTTGAATCAAGCACTCTTAGATAGAGCCCAAGACAAAGCAGATTAGAACCAGCAAGGAAGAAAGATTTCAGAGAGAACTATTTAATGATGCTCTCTCCTGGGAGATAAATAACATAACCACCTAACAGACCTTTCCACTTTCACCATGCAGAGGATACACAGGAAACTTGCTCTGATAAAAAAACACCAAAGAGAAAAAACTACTACCTACTTATCACAACCATGTTGGAGGACCCTTTCCTCCCAAGAGCTTCGAAAAAATAACTTTAATGCATTCTTTTCACAAACATTTTAAAATTACTCTGTGTGAGGCACCCAGCTAGGTACTAGAAGTTGCTACCAGGCAGACGAGTCTCAGGAGTCTACCAAATATGGCATAGCTATTAGAGTTATTAGTTGTGTGACCCCCACCACCCCATTATCTGTTCTCCTTCCATGTAAAATCCCTTATCTTTAGGTACCTGGTCACCCAATGTAGAAGCCCGTATTTCCTAGGCTTCTTTGTAGCTAGGTGTGGCCATGTAACTTAGGTTTTAGCCAATGGGATATAAGGAGAAGTGATGCAGCAATTTCTTGGAATGTTCTTAGAGGGAGTACGCTTATCCCTCCTTGTCCCCTTCCTCTATTCTGCTGTTTGGCACATGGGTGAGGTGATGACACATCCTGGACTGTGAGGATGGGGGCGACATCCTTGTTGGCAGAGCCACAGAGAGGAGAATGAGTCCTTGGATGACACATGGTCCAGCGCTGCCATACCAGCGGCCATCTTCCCAAAGACTATATTATACAGGACAGAAAACAAATCACTGTCTTGTTCAAACCACCATAATTTTGGGTCTCAGTTGTATGCAGTTCAACTTATATTCCAACTAATACTCAGACGGAAAAAAATAACACAACATAAGACAGAAAACAGAACTCTATCTTTAAAGCCTTTTTCCCCAAAATATAAAGTATTTTAAATATGCAAAGAAAAATAGAAAATAACCCATCATGCAGATTTCACAGAGCTTAAATCCCAAAGCAGAGACACGGGAGCCAAGAGTAATGTACAAAAAGAAAGGGAAGTAAAAGAGCCCCAAAATTTGTCACTTCTTTTTAATGCGGTTTAATGCCCAGCATTGCTCAATAAAAGCCATACTCACAAACGCCAGTCCCTAACAAGGACAAACATCAAAGGAGTGAAGGAGTCTATAATGAATTGTTTCAATATCTTTAAAGGCTCCAAACTCTCTTGGCTGGACAATTACTGATGATTTTGAATTTTTTATATTCTTCTGCTTTTTCCAAATTTTCTATCATTAGCATGTATCCCTTTATAATCGGGGGGGGGGGGTGAGGGGGGGGAGACAACTTAAAAAAGTTAGGGTTCTCAGAAACTCAGGAGGACTAAGGAGTATTTAATAGGAACTTCAGAAAAGACCTAAAAGGGTCATTAAAGAGATGGGAAGAAAACATAAGACTGTGGAGAAAAACTGAAATACCAGACAGAGTAAATCCAAAACAGGTGGCTAATGCAAAAGGTGACCTCACAATTCGCCAAGTAGTGTCACTACACAGAAGACGAGGCCAGTCACTCCCAGCAAAATCACTGAAGCAAGAAGTTGCAGGCAAGTTTCCCTAGCAAGATAGCCTGTCTTGTGTATATCTTTAAAAACAAGGTAAAGACATGATAAGTTACTTATTGATCTAAATTAAGGCAAGATTAATAGGATTTGATTTTTTCAGGCTAGTAAGGCAATCAGACACAAATACCTAAGTGGAATCTCTCTCTCAGCCAATTCACACTAAAAAATCCAATAGATGATGCAATGTCCTCCATTTGTTGGAAATTACGACCTAGAGCACAGTTAGCACTCGTAGCAGGTGGAGTGCCATCTACTAGCTGCTTAGAGTCACCTATGGTTGCTCTCAAAGTTGCCTATGCCAGTTGCAATTACTACCATACTGTGAGATGTAAGTACCACAGAAATTGATGAATGTGGTTACACCAATAAATGCTTGTGGTTTCTTTTTTTAAAGATTTTATTTATTCATGAGAGACACAGAGAGAGAGAGGCAGAGACACAGGCAGAGGGAGAAGCAGGGAGCCTGACATGGGACTGGATCCTGGGTCTCCAGGATCACACCCTGGGCTGAAGGCGGCACTAAACCACTGAGCCACCCGGGCTGCCTGTAGTTTCTTTTTAAAAACTAAGGCGAGTGCTTTAGAAAGATTCAATAAACGTTAAGTCCCTAAAAATACTGCTGTTGAATTAGGTACAGGTGACATATGAAAAGCGAATCATCCCGGTGGGCTTGCACTTTTAAGGCCTTTGCTTGCTGCAGCCTCCTTTGCCCAGGAGAGCAATAAAGCTGTTCCTCTTTATCCAAAAACAAAACAAAACAAAACAAAACAAAACAACCAATGAATCATATATAGCTAGGATTTTGATCTTGGTTTGTTTCATAAATACCTAAGTTTCAATGTACTTCAAAGAACATTACAAGGAGAAATTATGAATAATGCTTTGTGTGTGTGTTTTCTAAAATGAAATCAACTGCAAACTCCAATCAGCAGACACACAACATTCAAAGAAAAGGTTGTGGCCCTATGACAAAAAAAGAGTAAAGCTTAAAAAAAGGTGCATGGACATATATTCAAATATTTTAAGTTAAAACAAAATGTTTCTAGTGCTTGCTTCAGCAGCACATATACTAAAACAAAGTGTTTCTAACACGTATGTGTCCTTCTTTAGGCTTCCTTCTCTTTAACCCACCAATCAGTATGCTCAAGCACATGAAATAGTGTGGCTTTTCCCATATCTCACTCACCAGCTCAGGGTCATCCTCCTCCACATTTGTAGGTTTTCCTTCCTTCTTTAATTGCTTTTTTCTCTCTTTCACCTAAAAAGAATTTTTTTTCATCAAAAAATTGAGAACATCCATTAAGTTGCACACATATGACATGTGCACTTTTCTGCAGGTATAGGTATAACAAAAGGTTTACATGGAAAAAAAATGAGCTTCTTCCCCTCCCCTCCACAACAGCAATGCAATCAAAGGAGAACAAGCAACCAGGGGTCCTTCCTCTAATCTCATCTAAAATCCAATCTACCAGAAGAATGCATAGGGACCAGCAGGGAACTTGTCCCCAGCTCATCAGATCCTAGGCCAGAGCCAAAGAGCCTTGAATACAGTGAATAAATTACCCATCTCTCTTTTGAGGGCTGTAGTTACATGTTTATGGCAAAGAAAATATATTTGTCAAGTTTTAGAAGAAGCTACCAAATTTGTGGCATTAAGTATAATTGCTTTCTGATATTTCAACAACTGTATTGATCATTTTCACTGTGACACCCCCTAAACCAATAATTTTCACATCATATTAACTGACGTTTTTTATTCCTTTGGCCACCACTGAGATCTAACAAAAAATTAAATATATGCATTCACACAAGAATGTCATTATTCTATTAAATAACCATCCACTACTGCTCCAGCAGTCAGTGCCTTCCAAACTCAGAGCAGCCCTACTGCCACCTTGTGGCCAGAAAGCCTGAGGATGGCTCCTTTATAGGCAAAATACGTAAGAGAAGTACCACAAGAATTTAAGAATTTGTCAGGTCCTTTTATGATTTTTACCAAAATTTGGCCTACACATATCACTTCCAATACATGACCAGCAAGACATAGTTATGGCCATCCATCTCCTCTTTTTACTCCTTTTCTTCATCTCAATTGGACTCATTATTATTATTGGTTATACAGCTATGAGATATTCCAAAGCTCTTCAAAGAAAAGGTCACACCCATATTCACTCCCAATTGAAACAGCTCTTACAAATGGCCTCATGATTCTTACCCCAGCAAGTTAAAAATTAAAACAAAGACCTTTCTTACCTCAAGCAAGCCATCTGAACACTTCCCACCACTCAGGAAATTTAGGTAATGCAAAAAAATAAATCCAGCTATAACTGAATTTATTTGACTCGTTCCCAACCCTGTTAATACAGACACGCACCTCCTCCTATTTAAAAAAAATTTACTCACGTCCCCTTGCCAATCTTTCTCAAGCCCATATTCCAACCCCTTCACAGAGACAAGAATCAAAATAAAGGGTCAAGGATCATCCTGGCTGCTCCACTCTTCCACTCTCAGAACTGGGTAATGTGATAACACGTGATGAGAAGAAAAGACCTCTCTCCACAGCATGAGGCTGGTAAGGAAAGAGGGAGGAGCATCCTAAGCACTCCACATCCTGAGCTCTAGGGCACACACTATGCATGAGCACCACAGCAAACTTATGGAGACCAGATAAGAGGTCACAAGTTACACCAGTAGGTATTGCTATGTTAACATTTACCCTCCTGCAAGGTGCCCAAGGCTTGCTAATACTTCCTGTAAACACAGCAGCACTATAAATACTTACAGTGTGTTCCACGTATTCTTTTCCTGCCTGAATTACATCCAGGGCCCTCTTCTTTTGTTCCTGATCCAGTAGCAACTTGTAAGCTTTGTCCACAGCTAATGCAAAACATTGAAATTAACTGTTTCTGCAAACACCCTCTGAAAGTCTGAACTATACTCAGGCAGTGTAAATGGACTTGTGCCATCTAAAAGCATCCCCTACTTTGTTAAATTATTTATTGTTGTTAAACTATTTTAAAAACATACAACTATAAGCAATGACTTTCCTTGAGAGCCTTGGAAAAAATTAAATATACCCTCAAGACTAAATACACCACATCCAGATTTAATTCAGTGATAAAATACTTCCAATAATTTTTTTTTGTTTGTTTCAAAGAAGAAAAATGATCCTATGCAGTAACAGTCTTTCTTGGTACATAAGAGTTTTAACAAAGCAAAGTTAAGATCTATGTCTTAAACAGCAACAATCTGCTTTGGAATGACAACTGTTCTACTGAAAACCACAGCTTCTTCATCACCAGAAGACAAATCTGTAACATTCCTTTTTTGATCCAGAACAAGGAACAGTTAGTCCCTAGCATTGATAAAATATTACTCAGGAGCAGGTAAATTTACAAATACCTTCAAAAGCCTTTTGTGCTCTGTCAGCATCATCTTGATTTTTGTCAGGGTGTACCAATATGGATAACTAAAATAAGAAGAAAGTCAGGTTTGTCAATAATATTTAGTAACTCTTCGCCTACACTGTGCCTCTTTACAACCAAAAGCTCTAAGGCAAAAAAGACTGTAAGCTGGAAGCATTTTTAACAAGTTAATAAATATCATAAAATGCGCAGATATACTGGTCCTTAAAATTCACGCACCAAAAGATTTGTAAATGCACAGCTGGGAAACATGTAGGGTTTTAATCACAAAGTTGAGAACAAATATAAGTCTAGCATTTATGAGGATGCTGTAAGGATACAGAAGAGAGATTGAAAAGTACCCAGTTCCTATTATGTTCCTTATACTGAACACTAAAGAGGCTAAAAAAGCAGATATGAGACATCATCTTTCCTAAAAGAACTTTTAATTTAAAGTAGTGGTTCTGGGCAGCCCGGGTGGCTCAGCGGTTTAGCGCCACCTTCAGCCCAGGGCATGATCCTGGAGACCCTGGATCGAGTCCCACCTCGGGCTTCCTGCATGGAGCCTGCTTCTCCCTCTGCCTGTGTCTCTGCCTGTTTCTCGAATAAATAAATAAAATCTTAAATAAATAAATAAATAAATAAATAAATAAATAAATAAATAAATAAATAAATAAATAAACAAACAAACAAACAAACTAAGTAAGTAAGTAAGTAGTGGTTCTCAAGAGGGAGTCTGGAGGGATGGATTAAATAGGTGATGGGGACTAAGGAGTACACTAGTGAGCACCGAGTGATGTATGGAAGTGCTGAATCACTGTATTATACACCTGAAACTAATATACACTGTATATTAACTAGAGTTAAAATAAAAACTAAAATTAAAATAAAATTAAAATTTAAGAAAACAAAGTAGTGGTTCTTAGTTCTGGCTATGCTCCAACCCTTGTAAAGCTTTTTATTTTTTTTAAATATTTTATTTATTTATTTATTTGAGAGAGACAGAGAGAGAGAGAGAGCGCGCAGCACAAGCAGGGGGAGGAGCAGAGGGAGAGGGAGAAGCAGACTCCCTGCTAAGCATGGAGTCCAATACAGGGCCCAATCCCACGATCCTGAGATCATGACCCAAGCAGAAATCAAGAGTCAGATGCCCAACTGACTGAGCCACCTAGGCGCCCCCAACCCTGTGAAGCTTAAAAATACAGGTCTACTTTCTACTTTCAGACCCTCTGATCAGTCTCTGGCACCTATACTTTTTAGATTTCTACTGGATTGAATATCAGGTGACAGTAAGGAATTAGTGTTAATTCTGTTAAGTGTGACAAGTGGTTATGCAAGAAAATATCCTTTTTCTTCTTGGGGAGATACATGATGAAGCATTTGGGGTAAAGTATCATATGTCTATAATTTACAATTCAGTCAAAAACAGAGTTAATGAAGGAAACCGATGCATACAGATGGTGAGTATATTGGTGTTCACTGCTCTAGTCTTTCTTTTTAAAATGTAATTTAAATTTCTTATAATAAAAAAGTTAGAAAAAAAAGCAATAATCTCCATGGGTGAATTCTTTTAGACAGCCAGGATTAGAACCACTGACTTACTATCATTGACAGACCAAAATCAACTAGTTGGAACAGTGTGACTGGGTCAGGGGAATGACAGCAAGTAGGAATCCAATGCTAATCCAGCATTACTGGAGCCAAAATCTTGGGTTCTAATTCCAACTTTAATCACCTACTGGCTGAGACGTTAAGCAATTCACTTAACCTATCTCTGCACCAGTTTCCTCCTCTGTAAATGGGACAATACTAGGTACCTATAACTCACTAGGTTGTTAAAAATGAACCAATGCAAGTAAGAAATATAGAATACTGTCTAACACACATTCACAATAGTTAACATATAAAAAGGAGATACTATATACCAAGAAAAAGATACACTATTCTATTGTGTATTACCTCTAAATCCTCATAATCACCCCATTGAGTAGACACCATTATTATGTGCATTTTACAAATGCACAGAAAGGTTGAAAGTAACCTGTTCAAATTGCTTATAAGATGTATGGCCAAGACTGGAACTCAAGTCATATAGCTCTAGGGCCCACATTCCTTTTTTTTTTTTTTTAATATTTATTTGAGAGAGAGCGAAACATGCACAAGCAGGGGGAGGCATAGAGGGGAGGGAGAGAGAGACAGGGAGAGAATCAGAGAGAGAGAAAAGCAGACTCTCCACTGAGCACAGACACTGATGTGGGACTGGATCTCACAACCCTGACTGAGATCATGACCTGAGCTGAAATCAAGAGTCAGAGGCTTAACCAACTGAGCCACCCAGGAGCTGCCAGGGCTCAGACTCTTAACTATTAAATCATATTAATGACTAAAGAACTTACTGAGCTCTTTGTATAGCTACGGATTTGAATGCTTACTTATTAAATTGGGAAAGACTGCTAATGCCTTACATTAGGAAATTTGAAATTTTAGGAAAAAAATGCTGAATGTAAGTACAGAGTAACTCTATAAAAAGTTATAAGGTAAAAAAAAAAGATATAAAGTTATATAATGACAAATGCCTGAGTAGGCAAAGATAAACATCTTGGCTTAACAGTAGATCAGAAGATGGTTGTGAGTCAGCAGCATGGGGGCAACCAAGGAATCAAAGAAGCAGACATAATACTGGATATTACCAAGTATGTCATGCAGGAGCTGAGAATCATATCCAGCACTGTCAGGTCCTATTAAAATATGAAGTATTTAAGAGATATAAAAAAGGTGTGGAAGGGCACCTGGGTGGCTCAGGTCATGATCCCAGGGTCCTGGGATCAAGCCCCACATCTCTGCTCAGGGTGGAGCCTGCTTCTCCCTCTTCCTCTGCCCCTCCCCCTGCTTGTGCTCACTCTCTCTCAAATAGAAAATTAAAACTTAAAAAAAAAAAAAGTTGGGAAAAGTTAAAAAAAAAAAAGACATAAAATATACAGAAAATCCAATTAGTAAAGGCAGATTGCAGGGAGTGTGATTATTCAACTCCTAGAAGGAAAGAGGGTTACTCAACTATCAAAATTGGAAGTTTTTTTTAAAAGGCTACTATAAACATTTCAAAGCTCAAGTTACGAAACACGAGACTGAGAAGAAAGCACTCTTTATATGAAGCAGGTATCTACTGGGTTATTTGTTTGCAAAACATAAAATTATTGAGGGAGGAGGTCTTAAAACTAAAATACTGTTATGAGGGGCACCTGGGTGGTTCAGCTGGTTAAGCGTACAACTCAGTTTCGGCTCAGGTCAGGATCTCAGGGTTGTGAAATCAAGCCATGCCTCAGACTCTGCACTCAGAAAGGAGTCTGTTTGAGATTCTTTCCTGCCCCCACCTCCCACCCCCTCTGCTCCTCTCCCTGCTCACTCTCTCTCTAAAAATAAATAAATAAAATCTTAATAATTGTTACAAATCATTTAACACATTCTCCTGGGGAGAAGGCAGGAAATTTAATAAGCATGACTCCATGTAAGCTTTACTATTCTATCTTGTACTCTTCCTACTTAATTAAGGGGCTGGAAAGATTCTATTTGGATATAAACTTCATTCTATTCATAGGTTATTTTTTTGTTTTGTTTTGTTTTGTTTTTTATTCATAGGTTAAATTCGTTCTATTCTTCTAACTTCCAACTGTGTGCCTAGATTTGAGAGTGGGTATACTCCTGTCATAATCTTCCAAAGTCTGCTGAATGCAGTGGTCATTAAACTTCATGTTCTACCAATAACTACTGCTGTGGTGAGGCTGTGTGAATGTCAGAGGCAAGCCATAGTCATTAAATTACTTACGAATTTTGTCACTGTGAGTTTTTTTGTTTTTTTTTAAGAGTTACATAGCCTTAAATTTAAATAAAGAAAAGTTAAGGGGCATCTAGGTGGCTCAGATGGTTGAGCATCCAACTCTTGATAATAGCTCAGGTATGATCTTAGAGTCTTGAGATGGAGCCCTGGTTTGGACTTCTTGCTCAGTGGGAAGTCCACTTGAGACTCTCCCTCCCTCTCTCCCTCTGCTCCTCCCTCCACAAGTTCATGCACACGTGTGCTTTCTCTCTTGCTAAATAAATCTTAAAAAAAAAAAAAAAGTTAAATTTTGGGCCAAAAATCATAATAGCAAGTCCTAAGACAATCATGTGCTTACTATATTTCCAAAAGGTTCAGACTCCAACTACTATAGGAAAATAGTACTGTACCTGTCGAAACCTCTTTTTTATTTCTTCATCTGTCACTTCAGGATCTATCTGAAGAACCTAGAAGAATCAAAATCAGAACTGTAAAGGAGATTAAGAGAATTTATGGATTTGACAGGTATCCAATAATTACACATATTACAATCAGCATCTCACTCAGCATTCCAGAACAATGCCTGGCACACAGTTGTTAAAAATGCTCAAATGTAAATGAGGGGTCCCTGGCTGGCTCAGTCAGTAGAGTGTACAACTCTTGATCTTGGGTTCTAAGTTTCAGCCCCATGTTGGGCGTAGAATTACTTTTAAAAAATAAAATATTTTTGGGACACCTGGATGGCTCAGCGGTTGGGTGTCTGCCTTTGGCTCAGGGTGTGATCCTGGAGTTCCCAGGATCGAGTCCCACATCGGGCTCCCTGCAGGGAGCCAGCTTCTCCCTCTGCCTATATCTCTGTCTCTCTCTGTGTCTCTCATGAATAAAATCTTTAAAAACAAAAAATTAAAAAAATATATTTTTAAAAAGAAAAAAGAAATATAGATGAACAAATCAGTTACCAGAATAATAGTTATCCCATTTTAGGGTTCTCAAGTAATACAGTAGCTACCTTTACTCTATCAGAAGAATTTATCATATACCCAGAGGCATATTCCAGACCATGCTGAATTTTGCCTTCATTCATTAAGAAAAGGACCCTCCTGGGGCACCTGGGTGGCTCAGTGGTTGAGCGTCTGCCTTTGGCTCAGGTGATAATCCCACTGTCCTGGGATCGAGTCCTACATCGGGCTCCCCACAGGGAGCCTGCTTCTCCCTCTGCCCATGTCTCTGCCTTTCTCTCTGTGTCTCTCATGAATAAGTAGATAAAATCTTAAAAAAAAAAAAAAAAAAACAAAGAAAGAAAGAAAAGGATCCTCTCTACCCACCTCTACTTATCTTTACAAGTAAGAGAAAGCAGAGGCATGCAATTGGGAAAAAATCAGGCTGGCCCCTGATTTTCAAACCAGAAAGATCCACTGGACTCCATGTTATATCTGTGATTCATGTGGGCAAATGATTCTCAGCCCAGAGAGAACATCAGAATTACCTGTGAGGATCTGTGACTAATGGCTGGGCCTACTCTAGAAAAGTCCGATTCCTGGACACCTGGGTGGCTCAGTCAGTTAAGCATCTGGCTTTGGCTCAAGTCATGATCTCAGGGTCCTGGGATTGAGCCCCAGCATCAGGCTCTCTGCTGAGCAGGGAAGTCTGCTTCTCCCTCTCCCTCTGCTCCTCCCCGCTGCTTGTGCTCACTCTCTCAAATGAATAAATAAAATCTTTAAAAAAAAAAAAAAAAAGGAAGAAAAGTCTGATTACAATTCATGAGAACTGAGGTACAGCCAATGGAAGGATCCTCTATTTTCTGAGCAACATTATTCTTTTTTTTTTTTTTTTTTTAAAGATTCATCATTCATTCATGAGAGAGACAGAGAGAAAGGCAGAGACACAAGGAGAGGGAGAAGCAAGCTCCTTGCATGGAGCCTGATGTGGGACTTGGCATTCCTAAAAAATAAATCTAATCATTTTTCTCCAAGCCTAGGTAAGCTGGTGTTGACAGTACTCATCAAGCATCCTGACCCCATCACCACAAATACATACATTCATTAAACATTTACACAGTAGCTACTACCTGCTGAACACAATGCTATGTGCTAGAAATGCAAAGATAAACAGGGAAAACATATTTTTTTTAAATTACCATATAATAAGTGCTTTTGGGGGAAGGAAATGTTATATACAATAAAGCAGATGATTTCACAGCGTAGTCCATGGATTCAACGTAGCACCTAGTATTTATTTACTTAGTATTCTAAGCCAGAGGAAGGTCCTGAAAGGGCATAGGGTGAGGAGAGTTAGAAATTAAGAGAAGGTCCCATTCAGTGCAACTGAATCAGAATCAACACATAACAAGATCCCCAAATGGTTTGAATCTTTTAAAGCCTGAGAAGCACTGGCAAGAAACAATGGAGGTTAGAAAAATGTGTGTTCAAAGTTAGTAGAAGTAAGGATCAGTCAGTAATGGGCAGGGGGTGAGGAACAGTGGCAAAAATAAAAAATAAAAATAAACCTTGAAAGAAAAATATATACTAGAAATTAAAACTGCAAAGTAATTCACCGGATGCTTGCGGTATTTTTTAAAAACATGGCAACAAGTAGTGTCAAGATTTATTGTAAGCTTTCAAAACATTCCAACTGCCTATCTACCGTAATAAAGTTATTGGAAACCAATGAAGCTGAATCACCACTGCATTCGGCACACTTTGGAAGGTTATGACAGGTGCATACCCAGTCTCCAATGCTGAGGAGACATTCAGGGTGAGGGAAAAGAACTTTAGAGCAAAGAATTTTCAAGATTCTTTGTGACCCCTCATACCTTATGTGGAAATTTCTCCTTATTCTGAGGAGATGCAAAGTAAATTATTCAGGCATAAAGCATCACAATGTCTACAGCTTACTTTCAGATGATTTGGCAAAAATGAAGAAGACATGTATATACACACAAACACATACACACAAATCAAAAGTTATTTTCCAAGAGTTCTATCACATGTGCACATGTGATCACTGGCAACAAATATTCACTGAGTGCCTTCAAAGCTAATCCAACTCCTTTTCTATCTCTAAGAGTTGGAGGTGCCATATATGGCCATGAAATACAATTTTAAAATAGTGGGCCTATCCCTGTGGCCCAAACCACTGTAAAGCCAGTTTCCCACTCAGTACAAATGTTTGGAACACCTATGATTGCTAGATACTCTGCTCACTACTATTCTCATGAAATTTAAGCTCCATCAAGGGAGGAACAGACAAGTAGTAATTCCAATAGCATGATAAATGCCATATTATCAATATGGCTCTTAGGAAGCACACAGAACATTCAGATTCTTTGAAGGTTTTTCTGAATTCCTACTGTCTCAGGCTTTGGGGATATTGTAATGAAAAATCCACAGTCTTAGATCTCAAAGAGTTAATTAATCATCTCACATTAACAAAAATATTTGATATTTATACAAGTTTCTGAACTCAAACTCTAAAAGCCTCCTTTGGGATCTTCTGCTTGAAAAAAAGAATCCAGTCTTAGGCACATCTGAACTCTACAACCTATTAATGTAACAAGTCCCAGAGTTACATGAGATAACTACCCTTCTTTCCAAGGTACTTAAGATAAACAGAAAATAAAGTCAGTGGTGCTCCCTGCTGGCATCTTAAAGTTAAATCAAAATAAGGAACATAAATAGGACAGGAAGGAACAGGGACATGGGTTCATCTAAGCTTATGGAAGGAAGTGGGGAAGGGCCCCCAACTTAAGAATTACTATAGAATGCCTAAGAATGATGCTTCTTGCATAATGGCTGAAGGTTAGATATATGTCCAAATAGGGAGGCACAGAGATGGCAGGAAGAGAAAAGAAAATGCACCCTCGATAAGGATTCCTGTGAGAAGATCCCTCAGATTCCCAATTTATTTCCTCCCATTTCTACCTGCTGCTCAGTGAGGCGGTGTCAAAGAAGACCACTCACACTTTAGTTGACTTGACAGCTGAGATGACAGCTATCATTGCATTACTCCCTGTACTAGAAGACGACCAGGCTGCTTACCTCTGTAGAAAAATCAGCTTCATTTAGGTGGCTCAACAGTTACTTGTTGCATAAGAAACAAAAGTCATTGGGGATCCCTAGGTGGCGCAGCGGTTTGGCGCCTGCCTTTGGCCCAGGGCGCGATCCTGGAGACCCGGGATCGAATCCCACATCGGGCTCCTGGTGCATGGAGCCTGCTTCTCCCTCTGCCTATGTCTCTGCCTCTCTCTCTGTGACTATCATAAATAAAAAAAAAAAAAAAAAATTAGAATGCTTTAAAAAAAAAAAAGAAAGAAAAGAAACAAAAGTCACTCATTACTTATATCTCCAGGACATCTAATTCTGACTTAGAATAAAAAAGCAACTTGACTTTTTGACATCCACCCTATAAAGAGGCCAGGACATTTGTAGAAAATAGAAAAGAAAATGTTCTAAAGGATAGTCATGAAAAAATAATAATAAATAAATAAATAAATAAATAAATAAATAAATAAATAAATAAAAAGGATAGTCATGGAGTCCTGCCCATTTGAATACAATCTCCCATCTTCCCAAGTGTGTTGACCTTAATATTTTTTTGTGTAAAGATATAGATGGATATAGAAATAGATATTCAAATACACATACATACACAGTCAACCCTTGAACAATACAGATTTGAATTGTGTGGGTCAACTTATGTACGGATTTTTAAAAAATATATATATAGTACACAACTATAAATGTATTTTCTCTTATGATTTTAATATTTTCTCTAGCTTACTTTATTATAAGAACACAGTATTTAATACACGTAACATACAAAATATGCATTATCAATGGTTTATATTATCAGTGAGGTTTCCAGTCAATAGTAGTTATTAGCAAGACGCCTGGGTGGCTCAGTGGTTGAACATCTGCCTTTGGCTCAGTCCTAGTCTCAGGGTCCTGGGATCAAGTCCCATATCGGCCTCCCTGCTCAATGGGGAGTCTGCTTCTCCTTCTCCTTATGCCCCTCCCCCTGCTTATACTCTCTCCCACTCTCAAATAAAATCTTTTTAAAAAAGACATTAAGGGATCCCTGGATGGCTCAGCAGTTTGGCACCTACCTTCAGCCCAGGGCATGATCCCGGAGACCCAAGATTGAGTCCCACATCGGGCTCCCTGCATGGAGCCTGCTTCTCCCTCTGCCTGTGACTCTGCCTCTCTCTCTGTCTCTCATGAATCAATAAATAAAAATTTTTTTTAAAAAGGCATTAAAATCCTAGCCTTTGGGGATCCCTGGGTGGCTCAGTGGCTTAGCGCCTGCCTGCAACCTGGGGCATGGTCCTGGAGTCCTGGGATCAAGTTCCACGTCGGGCTCCCTGATGGAGCCTGCTTCTCCCTCTGCCTGTGTCTCTGCCTCCCTCTCTCTCTGTCTCTCATGAATAAATAAAATCTTTAAAATTAAAAAAATATATAAAAAATCCTAG